TTAATGGCTCCAACATGGTGGATGCACCAAGACTTGGTGCATTCAGACAATTTCATATTACAGTTCGTCATAGCTGTTGGATGTGGTCCATTAAACCCCATAGTGGGCTTAATGGACCCATGGTGGGTTCTAAAAAGAAGCTTCTAAAACGTCCCAGAGCTTCATAATGTAGAACCATCAGCAAATAAAGTAAATGTGAACCAGTTAGATTCATTGTAAATATCATTTATATAAAGTAGAAACATTTAGGACCCAGTACTCTAATAACCTCCAGTATATCTGAATTTTATCTCCTCAGGGTTGGTTAAATTTCCTTGAAACTTTGTCAAATATTTGGGTTTCTTCCACAAGGTTCTCATGAGAGCTTGTTGGAGTTCTGGTCCATTCCTCCTGACAGAACCAGTAGAACTGGGTCAGGTTTGATGACTGTACTTGTATAAATATTAATATTTTATGACCAATTTGATAATAACACGACAATCATCATTTCTCAGGTCAGAGAAGCAGAATATTTTCCTCTCTTCCTTCTCCAACATGGTGGGTCCATTAAACTGAACCATGTCTGCTGTTGTCAGCAACAAAAAGACTCAATTCATTTTATTAACAAAATCATATTTTAAAATTTCAGATATTTTTCAAAGCAATCAGACCTTTTCTGTCCAAATCTGATCTTCCAGTTTCTGGGATTTTTTCCAATGTAGAAAATGTTCTTCACTGTCAAGAAAACCCGAGATCATCCCAGTTCCTCATGCTGGAGATTTTAATTTAACAGTAACAATAGATAAAGTTACCTTTAAAGTTAATCACACAATAACATCAAGACCCAACAATAGAGTTAAACTTCAATAAAATCAATCTGGTTGTTATTGCCTCCTGTAAACTTTGCTTTAATTCTCCTTCCTACTTCTGCAGGGTGAATCCCAGCAGATTTAGGAAACTCATTTCCCCCGTTAGACGGAGAGCTGGAAGCTCATCTCGTCCTCTCAGAAGAGGAAGCAGAGAGAGAGAGTAGAGAGAGAAGGATGGGAGGAGATGTGCAGCAACAACAGCAGGTTATGAATGAAACTAAATATAACAACATGATCTCCCTGTTACTCTGCAAAGCACCGTCAACTTCAACTAGTTTCAATATGGGAATATTTAAATGTAAATGAAGAGTCAGAGTTAAAATTGAAAAATAATCAACTGACATTTAAACAGGAACAGAACATAATGAGCAGCAATTAAGAAAAATGTGTTTATTTCTCATTAAACATACAAAAAATAACACTTGTATCCAAGAAGAATTTAATAATATTGGAGTTGACAGAAAAAAAAGTGATTGAGAAAAACTGCAGTAAATTCAAAGAAACTGAAATGATAAAAGAAAGAAAAACAATCAAAAAACATCCTGAGATTCATTGTGAATCTTTGACTGAAAACATCAAAAAACAACATGATGATCCAGTTATAATCCTGGAATAATCATGGAATAATCCCAGGGTTGTGTAGAAAAGTTTAACCAAGGCACAGATTGGATCCATGAAAATATGTTTCTGAATGAAACAGACATATAGAGACTGAACTATCTTTTAATCAGTGAGATTTTCTAGAAGGATGAAAAACTTTACACTTTTTAGACTCAAATCAGCTCAGAAACACTGAAGAGGAACCAGAACTGGACCAGAACCCAAATCCAGGAATCAGAGGTTCAGTGAATGTGGTGTTGAAGGTGTGGAGGAGGATCAGTGAGTCAGAGGAGAATCTGTAGAAGGACAGAATGCCAGCAGGACAGTCCACATACACTGCTACTCTGTTAGAGACAGAGGAGGAGAGATTAATTTCTATTTTATTGTGCCTGACAGAGTAACCATGATCAGAGCATCTCAGACTCCAGGAATGATCATTATATCCAAACCAACAGTCTCCACTGTTTCCTTTCCTCTTGATTCTTCTGTAACTCACTGATATATAAACATCTCCTCTCCACTCAACCTCCCAGTAACAGCGACCAGTCAGACCAGTTCTACACAGCAGCTGAGGCCAGTAATCAAATCTGTCTGGATGATCAGGATATGACTGAAGCTCCTCCACAAGTGTCACCTTCCAGTTGTCTTCAGACAGTTTGAGTTTTCTGTTCACTGTGTTTGTGTCGATGGTGAGTTGACAGGAATCTGATGGAGAGAACAAACACAATCCAGCTGCAGTTATTGATCATTTATTGACACTTTGACTCCTGAATGAGTGATGTGACAGTTTGAAGATGGTTGAATGTGAGCTGCTTTGTTGTCATGAATCAGATGAAAAACACACTTACATTTCCTCAGACCTGGAGTCAAGAATCGGCCTCCAGCAGGCTCCACCCTGAAAGGAGGAGGGGGGTCAGACCATCAGTCTCTTTCAGCACTTCCTCTACCAACCAGCATCACCAGGTGGCGCTGCACACATTTACAATGAGCCCAAGAAGAAGCAGCATCCTGAATCCAGCAGCTGCAGTAATGGCTTGTGAAAGTAATCCTCCCTCCACTGCAGAAGTTCTGGATGAGCTGATCTTGACTTTTTATCTTTCTCAGTAAATTTATCAGAACTTTGGATCTGAACCAGTTTCTGCTCTTATTTTTACATTTTCTACTTTTTCCATCATTCACTTCAATTCTTCCTTCCTTCTGGAAAACAAGGGATTTAATTTATTCCCTGATTTCATTCATATTTTGATCATTTTCCCGATGTCGCCCCCTGGTGGAGATAAACTGCCACATAGATGGATCTACTAACTTCTAAATCTCTTTGCCTTATGAATAGTTTTCTTCACTTTTTCATGTGTTTTATATTTTAAAACACACAAATTTATTAAAGTTTAGAGGTTTGCTTTAAATTTGAATTTATTTATTTCACGCTGAGATCTTTAAACATCCATCTGATCACCATGGAGCTGCTTTTCTTCTCCTCTTTGCTTCTGGGGGCTGATTGGTCTGAAGCTCCATCCAACATGGTTTTAATGTTTCTATCCTCAGTAAATCATCATAGGAATCTAACAGCTGAACTCCTTAGACTCCTGAATGAGTGATGTGACAGTTTGAAGAAGTTGAATCAGAATAAATTCATTATTATTTCCAGTTCCTATTTAGCTCCAGGCTCTCCTCACGTTCTTAGTCAGAAGAATTTTCCACAATCAGCTGAAATCTTCCTAAACACGAGTGTTAAATCAAGAACTGATCCGTTTCCTTCATCAACATCTTTTGTCTCTTTTCCATCATTCAAACATCATCAGTTCGTATCTCTAAATGTTCTTCTGCTCTTTCAGTTACTTTCAGTTTTCTGTTTCCATCCCATTATATTCCATATGCATTAAAGTTACTACATGTTATTGATAATAATTATATCTTTCTTGATCAGTTCCTCTATTTATGTTTCTTCTTTCTTTCTTCCTGTCACTGAAACATTTAAACTGATTCTATAACCTATATTTGCTCTCAGCCATGTCTCTTTATTACCAATTATTAGCGACTGTAAACAAAGTCTCTGATCAAAACTTAAATCCAATCTGCAGTTAAGATGATTTTATTTTCCTCAACATTATCAAAGATCCAGAACATCAGTGGATAACAGATATTTGTGTCCAAAATCATTAAACCCAGATTAACAGGTTTAAACAAAGATCAGATTAAAACATAAAAGCTTAAAGTGATCAGTAAAAACTAAACCTCCTCCATCATCACTGACTAAAGTCACCAGGTGAGCAACAGCTGATCTATAATCACTAATAACACCATGTGATCCAGCAGTACATCTATACACAACACCAATAATATCTGATTTATGATGTTATTAATCTTCATATTTTATCTTCCTGTCCATCAGCCAATCAGCTTCCTGTATTTCCTCAGTAGATCATCAGTGGAAGCCCCGCCCAGCCCATGATGCTCCTGGTTTGTGAAGACAGAGAGAAAAACTGAACTCTGATAGGAAACAGTTTCAACTGATTTTTCTCTCTCCAACCTCTTGGTTCCACATGGAGCTATATTTGGCCCCCTGCTGCTCTGAATACCATGTTATTGTGGTTCAGTAGATGGGTTGGTTTCCCAGGTTCATTCAGAACCATGTGGAAGATTCCTACAGCTTTTAATTGGATGTAGTTTGCAAACTTACATAGCCAAAATTACCAGCAAAATTTATAATTTAACTGTAATAAATACGAGCCAAATACTGAATTAGCATAATAAATTTTAATCTTCAAACTAAATGTTTCCCAGCAGACAGACTAAAGACATTTCTCCCTCTTCCTCCTCTATCAGACCTTCTCTGCTCCTGCAGCAGGTTCCTCCATACCTGAGAGCTTCCAGTCTCCAGTGTGGATCCTTCAGTCCAGCCGACAGCAGCTTCACTCCTGAGTCTCCTGGATGATTGTAGCTCAGGTCCAACTCTTTCAGATGGGAGGGGTTGGAGGTCAGAGCTGAGGCCAGAGAAGCACAGCCTTCCTCTGAGACCAAACAGCCTGATAAGCTGCAGACACACAATTCATCACATGATGAGAAAATGAGAACATGGAGGTAGAACTCAAGGTCTGAACTGGATATTTTCACGAGAAGAAAACGCACAAGAAACTGGAGATTCACCTGATGATAACATAAATAGAAATAAAACTATTTCATTTTGTAGATAATAAAAAATTAAAATTTATCACTTGTAAAATTAATGATAAAATCTAACAACTGGTTGGAGGAAGAATCTGCAATAATACTTCTTTGTACTCTGATGATGCAACAATCAGTCAAGTGTCCAGCGTTACAGTAACAGTTAAAGCCTGATCTCCATCTTTCTACATTCCTCTCTTCTTGGTTCTTTCAGCCTGGAATAAACAAAAACCAGCTGAGTTTATGTGTCAAGACTTAGAATAATAAGCCTCATCACAGTCAGACATCAGTTGATGTTATAATCTGATACTGAAATAAAATTTACATAATATCTTATAGCAGGTAATGTACAGAAATCTGGTTTCACCAGGATTGAGAACATTTTACCTGAGAGTTTCCAGGTTGCAGTTTGGACTCTTCAGTCCAGCAGAGAGAAGCTTCACTCCTGAATCCTGCAGGTTGTTGTTACTCAGGTCCAGTTCTCTGAGACTGGAGGACTGGGAGCTGAGAACTGAGGACAGAGCTTCACAGCTTCTCTCTGAGAGGTTACAGCCACTCAGTCTGAGGAGACAGGGAAGAAAATCTGTTATTAATCCATCAAATGTTTGTGTTACTTTACAGTCAACAATATTCTTCTTAGACTGATTGAAGAATAGGTCATATTTTCAAAACTTTATGATATCTTTATTTTGAACTAATTTATTCTATAGTTGGGACTCAAGACTTGAAGAACTGAACTACAGGCAACAAGGACACTGGAGAGAGAAATATTAAAATCTACAATGAACTGCATTAATTCAGTTACGCTATCAATAGAAAGTAGAGAATTTCTGCTGCTTCAACATGTAACATCATGAATAGTTGCATATGAGAGTCTGTCTCTCTTTTACTCATCACCTGCTAGCAGCAGACGAGGAAACAATGTACCGATAAATAATCAGTAAATACCAGTAGATGGTTTGGTTTCCCAGGTACATTAAGGTGAAAGAATCCTACTGTTTTAATGGGCTGCTGTTTGCAAAGTTGTACAGTCCATTTAATCCCAAAGTAGTTTCTGCAAAATAAGAGCATATATTTCTGTTCTTAGACCTTCCTAACATGATATTTATGAATTAATTAGAGGTCAGTTGATTGATCGGTTCCCTATCATAATCAGCTGATTTCTGTAAAAAAGTGTCTGATCGCTGATCACTGATCACTGCCTCCTGTTGCTGATCAGATGTATCTCACTTCTCCTCCTGCATGTGCAGCTCATCTCATCTTTCCTTCTCACTGCACAGCAACAAATCCTGTCATGAGAAACTATAACACTCTGATAGTGAATGGGGAAGTTTGTGTGATGCAGCGGAAAATTACCTCGGAGGTGAAGCATGTTAAAATGCATCAATACAATGAATCTAATATGGTATTTAAAAATATGAATTTGATGGAGTTTGGCTACATTGAGGTTCAATGCAGGAGCAAAATGACATCATGAGCGACCAGACAGCAGGTAAAGCAGCTCAACTACCAACAGTCACTTGGATCAGCATCACGGTCAGAAATAAGTAGAAAAAGTCTTCAAGCTGGCAGTGAAGACGCTGGTTCTCCTCTCGCTGTTGAACCTTCACTATTCATTACTGGTAGTTATATTTCACAGACATGGTGCTGCTAAACCTCCACCTGCAGTGAACTCACTGCTTAAAGCTGCATCAGGTAATGTAAACAATGACAATAACAACAACAATTCACATATTAAAGCTGTCGCTATGCTAAAACATGAGACATAATTCATAAAAAAAAAAATAAATAATAATGATAATCAATCTCCTCTCCCTCCTCCTGTGTTCTGCAGAATTACTCAACTATGTCAGAACCAGCCAATCAGAATCAGCCAATCAGAATCAGCATTAATCAAGCTGCTCTCAGGAAGTTTAGATTTAGTAACTCAGGATTGTTGATTTTGATGCAATCTGAAATTGACTTTGAATGAATGTTTCCCTCTTTTACTAGACATTATTGACATAATAAGTGTTATGAGATTTATTTAACTAATCTATAGTTTAGGGTACAGAGAACATGACTGTTGAATATTGCTCAACTGGTTGGTTTTTCAGTTGTCCTTTAGACTGAGTAGCTGCTCTATTGTCTCTGAAAGTATGAAAGCACAGCCTTCCTCTGAGATCAAACAGCCTGATAAGCTGCAGACACACAATTCATCACATGATGAGAAAATGAGAACATGGAGGTAGAACTCAAGGTCTGAACTGGATATTTTCACGAGAAGAAAACGCACAAGAAACTGGAGATTCACCTGTTAATAACATTAAAAAGTAATAAAACTGTATTTCCTTCTGTAGGTAATAAAAATCTGAATTTATCACTTGTAAAATTAATGAGAAAGTCTAACAACTGGTTGGAGGAAGAATCTGCAATAATACTTCTTTGTACTCTGAGGATGCAGCAATCAGTCAAGTGTCCAGCGTTACACTAACAGTTAAAGCCTGATCTCCATCTTTCTACATTCCTCTCTTCTTGGTTCTTTCAGCCTGAAATAAATGAAAACCAGCTGAGTTTATGTGTCAAGACTTAGAATGATTAGCCTCATCACAGTCAGACATCAGTTGATGTTATAATCTGATACTGAAATAAAATTTACATAATATCTTATAGCAGGTAATGAACAGAAATCTGGTTTCAGCAGGATGGAGAACATTTTACCTGAGAGTTTCCAGGTTGCAGTTTGGACTCTTCAGTCCAGCAGAGAGAAGCTTCACTCCTGAATCCTGCAGCTTGTTGTTACTCAGGTCCAGTTCTCTGAGACTGGAGGACTGGGAGCTGAGAACTGAGGACAGAGCTTCGCAGCTTCTCTCTGAGAGGTTACAGCCACTCAGTCTGAGGAGACAGGGAGGAAAATATGTTATTAAAAAATTTCTCATCATTTTTTCTTTTCCTATCAAAAATATTTTTCGGAAAACTTTATTTTACTAGGGATGCTTAAAACAAATATTTTAGTAATCGAGTAATCTATCAATTATTCTTACAATTAATTTGGTAAAAAACAATGATAAAATAAAATCTTGGTAAATCTGGCATAACACCGGTCTTAATATTGCACGAAAATATCAGTCCAGTTTATTGATCATCTCTAACAGTTACTTTTTGTTAGTTTAGAAACTTAACTTGTAACAGTAATAGCTCACTTTCTAAGTTAACCTGAAGTAAGACAAAAACCTGAAATACTATTCAAATTAGACACTTTGAAGAAACAATCCACCGATAAATAATCTGAAACATAAATACATGTTAAGCTCATCAAAAGCAGATTTTTATTCACATAACTGCATTAACAATGTGTGTCCTTACAGAGCTTTGTTGGAGGCTTTAACCACTGGCAGCAGCCTCAGAAGAACCTCCTCTGAAGCAGAGTATTTCTGCAGGTCAAACACATCCAGATCTTTTCCTGATGACACTAAGATGAAACCCAGAGCTGACCACTGAGCAGGAGACAGTTTATCTGTGGAGAGACTTCCTGAACTCAGAGACTGTTGGATCTCCTCCACTAGAGAACGATCATTCAGTTCATTCAGACAGTGGAACAGATTGATGCTTTTCTCTGCAGACACATTTTCACTGATCTTCCTCTTGATGTACTGAACTGTTTCCTGATTGGTCTGTGAACTACTTCCTGTCTGTGTCACCAGACCTTGTAGGAGTCTCTGATTGGTCTGCAGTGAAAGTCCCAGGAGGAAACGGAGGAACAAGTCCAGGTGTCCATTTGGACTCTGTAAGGCCTGGTCAACAGCTCTCTGATGGAGAGACTTTGGTTGAAGTATATTAAATAATGAACATTTCTTAGACGTTTGTTTTTCTTCCATCAGGTTGACACCAGAGTTAATGAAGGTCAGATGAACATGAAGAGCAGCCAGAAACTCCTGAACACTCAGATGGACGAAGCAGAACACCTTGTCCTGGTACAGACCTCTCTCCTCTTTAAAGATCTGTGTGAACACTCCTGAGTACACTGAGGCTGCTCTGATATCGATGCCACACTCTGTCAGGTCTGATTCATAGAAGATCAGGTTTCCTTTCTGCAGCTGATCAAAAGCCAGTTTTCCCAGAGACTCGATCATCTTCCTGCTCTCTGGACTCCAGTGTGGATCTGTTTCAGCTCCTCCATCATACTTGACCTTCTTCACTTTGGTCTGAACCACCAGGAAGTGGATGTACATCTCAGTCAGGGTTCTGGGCAGCTCTCCTCCCTCTCTGGTCTCCAACACATCCTCCAGAACTGTAGCAGTGATCCAGCAGAAGACTGGGATGTGGCACATGATGTGGAGGCTTCGTGATGTCTTCATGTGGGAGATGATCCTGCTGGCCTGTTTCTCATCTCTGAATCTCTTCCTGAAGTACTCCTCCTTCTGAGGGTCATTGAACCTCTGACCTCTGTCACCATGCCAACACACTGAGGAGGGATCTGATTGGCTGCTGCAGGTCGTGTGGTTATCCAGAGGAGAGCAGAGGGAAGCAGTTTCCCCCTGATGAGGTTTGTCAGCAGAACATCCACTGAGGTGGACTCTGTAGCATCAGTCAGGATCTCCTTGTTGTGGAAGTCCAGTGGAAGTCGACTCTCATCCAAGCCATCAAAGATGAACAGAACCTGGAAGTGTTCAAAGCTGCAGATTTCTTTGGTTTCACTAAAGAAATGATGAACAAGTTCCACCAAGCTGAACTTTTTCTTTTTCAGCACATTCAGCTCTCTGAAGGTGAATGGAAATATGAACTGGATGTTCTGGTGGGCTTTGTCTTCAGCCCAGTCCAGAGTGAACTTCTGTGTTAGGACTGTTTTCCCAATGCCAGCCACTCCCTTTGTCATCACTGTTCTGATTGGTTGATCTCTTCCAGGTGGGACTTTAAATGTCTTCTTGTCTGATTGTTGTTTCTGGTCTGTGTGGTTTCCTGGATGCTGTTTCAATCTGTCTGACCTCATGTTCATCATTGACCTCTCCAGTCCCTCCCTCTGTGATGTAGAGCTCTGTGTAGATCTGGTTCAGAAGGGTTGGACTTCCTGCTTTAGCAATTCCCTCAAACACAGACTGGAACTTCTTCTTCAGACCAGATTTAAGTTGATGTTGACAAACTGCAGCAAGATGTTCTAAATAAACATAAAAAATAAAATCAAGAATAAATAAAAATTATATTTTTAAGAGGTTTGAGTAAATGTGATTCCATCTCTTCATACATCAGTAAATGTGTGATGTATCCATCTGGTTAAATCTTTGTAGAAATCCTCTTACTGCTCTGCAGATGGTCAGCCAGCTCCTCCTGCTTCATCATCCTCAGGAAGTTCAGTGTGATCTTCATCACTGCCTCTCTGCTGCCCCTCCTCTGCTCTTCTTCCTCACCTTCTAACACATCATCATCTCTCTGACTCTCTGAGCATTCTGGGTAATCTGGACTCAGAACCTTTTTAATCTTCTTCAACTCGTTCTTCACATAAGTAACAATGTTTTTCCTCCAGCAGCTGGAACAGAATAATAGATAATAATAACATGGGACTGAAATCATGGAGCCAAACACCAGATGGATGTTGAACAGACTGACGGTCCTCTGGTCTACAAAATGCAGCATGGAGATGAATGTGAACAGAACCCATAAAAAAGTAGTTGTACATTTACAGACCATAAATATGGAGTCCAGCTGTGTTTGATGGTGCTGGCAGATGGACCACTGGGAACCTCTGAGCTCTGCTGGTCCACTCTGTGGAGGAACCAGGAACAATTAGGAAGTCAGGAAATATTCATCCAGCAGTTTTCACAGAGGAAATCACCAAGAGTTTCACACTAAAAATACTTGAATCAGAAAATCAGAGCATGACATGGACACAATACAAAGGAGTTAGAAACAGGAAGATGAATTACAGCAGGAGTCTCAAACTCCAGTCCTTAAGGGCCGATGTCCTGCAACTTTTAGATGTGCCTCTGCTGCACCACACATCTGAATGGAATAATGAGGTCATGAGCAAGGCTCTGGAGAACTGATCTACACAAGGAGGTAATTTAGACATTTCATTTCAGTGTTTTGTACCTGTGGCACATCTAAAAACTGCAGATATAATTCACATGCCTGTGAATTCCAGTAAAACCAGAATCAGTCAGTAAACGTAAAAAAGTTGATGTTGCACTTTAAACAGTCCAAACTGTCAGCAGATCTGATGCTGGTGGAGACAATGTCCCAGAGCTTGGGGACAGTGGAAGTGAAGGCTCTGTCCACACAGGTCTTCAGGATAATGTGGGACATCAATCATGTTCTGATGATTAGATCTGAGATGATGTGGATAATAAGGAGGACTGAGCACTTTGAGCTGCTTTCAATATGAAGGTGCTTTATAAATAAAATTGATTGATTGTAATATGTGGGTGTGTCAATGTGCGGTCCTCTACTGGGTGTTATAATGAGAGTTTTTATAATGTATTCTGGAAATCCTGTTGAGAATAAATAATTCTGTTTTCCTCTATCTCTGAGCTATTTGTATGCTTGTATTTACATAAATACACACTGTTAAGAATTAAAAAGAGGAATAACTTGATTTTGCTCGTTAATTCATTCCTCTTATGCCGAATTTTTGTGTCTGTATACATGTGCAGGGAGAAAGAGCAATCATACGACGTCAGACTTCAGATATCCGAGTTTTATCCAGAGAAATTCAATGCAAAAAGAATGTTACAATAAGCATCTCACCTAGATCATCAAAAGTCCAAGACATGACAAAACAGAAACAATTAACTGAGTAAAAAGGGAAACAGAAACAGAAACAAACAAAAGATGCATCCTTTGGGAATCTCTCACTCAGCACAAAGAGATTCGAACTTCTGCTGTAAAACAAACAATTTTATAAGAATGTGTATTTCCCTCATTTAAATATATGCATCAGGAGGTGTGTTTTTCCTTCTTAGGCGGCCTGATTTACAGCGTGGATCTGGAATGTTATCTCTGCCTCAAAATGATTCAACAAGAAACTGTTTTGTGTTCTATATAAACTGAAACAAAATCTAATGCTAAATAATGACTATAAGTTTGGATCTAAGAACTAAAGTGTTTCCTCTTAAAGAAAAACTGTTTTTGTAAATATCAGAAATATTTTAAAGTGGTTTTCTAAATCTATTATAATATACACTGCATGCAAATAATATGATTACAAAATAACTACTTTAAAACATGTTGTCTTAAGAACATCCCTTATATATATTTAATTCTAGTATGGATAAAATTATTTGTAAAAAGTTTTAAGCTCCTAATGAACTTTTGAACCATGCTAAGGAATTTGTTAATTGCCTGGCAGACAGACTCTCTGTCTATGGAGATTTAAGGAGTCTAGGCCTTTCTTTCTGTAGAATCCTCCCTGAGAATTTATATAAGTTCAGAGAGTCAGCAGTTGTTTTAGTTTGGATCTTTATTTAAATTTATGTGATCGTAGAGTGTACTTTAACTTTCTATGGTATATTTCATATGTCTCAAAACTGTCCTGTGCGGTATTGTGCTAATATAAAATTCTATTTCAACAACACACATGGAGTACACACACGAAAAGCTAAGGTTAAAGGAAATGACATACTAGGGATCGCCTTATTTCAGGTGTATTTTAGACAGACGGACGGACGGACAGACAGACAGACAGACAGACAGACAGACAGACAGACAGACAGACAGACAGACAGACAGACAGATAGACAGATAGATAGATAGATAGATAGATAGATAGATAGATAGATAGATAGATAGATAGATAGATAGATAGATAGATAGATAGATAGATAGATAGATAGATAGATAGATAGATAGATAGATAGATAGATAGATAGATAGATAGATAGATAGATAGATAGATAGATAGATAAAACAAACTGGGATATTTATACTGGTTCAGTTTCCACACTTACAGCTTTTAGAAACATCTCACCTCTCTGATGGTGGAGATCCAGGAGATTTAAAGTCAATGCCAATACCCTTTGACCAGTTGCTCTTCAAGGACACACAGCTGGGTTCTGGTTCTGGTTCTGGTTTGAGTCTCTGATGGATCCTGACAGAAACATGATGATTAAATCTTAATCAGCAAAGAGGAGCAGCAGCAGCTTCATCACCACGTCTGTTCTGGCCTGATATAGTGAACGCTGTGTGAAAAGGGCTGTGGACAGTTAGAGATGGTGACCTCACCTCTGACCTTTGCTCTGGCTCTCATCTTCCCCACACAGAGTGGTTTTAGAGGGAGGGACTCCCTCCTCTCTGTCCTCACACTGATCCATGCTGCTGAATCCACATCAGCTCACACACACTTTCTAGCTTCACCTGCAGAGGAAACACATCATTCATCTGCACATCAACTCTGATCATCCTTTACATCATTAGTGCTGGAAAAAGATCAGCTGCTCCTCCTCTGATTGGCTCTTCTTCTCTGCTTCATATCAGTGTCAGGTGAATGCAGTCAGACAGCAGAGAGGCAGAGGAAGCTGCCATCAGCTGCTGCACTTCTACTATCAGTCCACTAGATGGAGACATGGAGCAACATTTACATTCACTGATTCAACCTGAACAACAGGAAGGATTTTATTTAGTTAATTATTAATCTCCACAAGTGGATTATCTGCTGCATTAAATATTAACTAATAGTCTGAATCAATTGAAGACATTTCAACATCAATATTTTAAAATATTTTTTTCTAAAGGAAGAAACAAGAAACTTGGTTCTGACTTTACATTGAAGACCTGAGTTTGATACCAGGAAATGCAAACATAAAGCAGTTTGTTCACAGAAGAAACTAAAGAAACATCAGCTGTTCATCATGTTTGATTCCAGATCATCAATAATCTAATATTCCTGTAGATTAACCTTCAAAGAGATTAAACTTTGAGCTGAAATCAGAATTGAACATTTTGTCCAAACATCAGAAAATAGGAAAATCAAGAAATTTCTTGAGGACAAAGTTCAAGTAGGAAACAAAGCAAACTTACAGTTTGTTCAAATGATCCAAAGAGTTGATGAAGAAAATCTGAACAACAACCTGAGACCCAACAGAACCGCAGCAGAACCAGACTGGTGCTACACCTGAACAGGTGAATTTAAACTGAAAACATTATGATGAGAAATGAGCCCAGACTGGTCTGACTGGTCTGACTGGTCAGAGTTCTTGGGGAGTCAGAAGAAAGTTTACCTGTTGACGTCTGTCATTTGGACCTGAAACTTTCTCCTGGATTTTCTCTTTCCAGATTTTAGTGCAACAGAAACAGTTTCACTAAACTTTGTTTTAAAATATATTTCTTTTTCCAAGGCTTTTCTGGGCTCTAGTGGCTTTTATTCAAAAGTAGGCTGACAGGAAAGAGAGGAAGACATGCGGCAAATGTCGCTGTGTCTGGGAATCGAACTCACAACGAGGAATAAGGTCTCCAAACATGGGTCACACAAAACCCCTGCGCCACTTTTTCACTAAACTGATCTCAGAGCTGCTTCTGGTTCAGGAACAAAAGCTCTGAAATGTTGATTTTTGCTCTTTTCCAGCTCCACAGTTTGCATTACATTAAAACTGCAGCAGCAGATTAAGAAATAATGAGGGTGTACTTACTTTTGGCTATGACTGTCAAGGTGATTGATGGTGAAAATAATTAATATTTTCATTTATTTAACATGTCATAGAGAAAAACCACATGTTAATTTTTCAGTGATAATTTACCCATGATATTCATACATTTATAAATGTCAGATTTTTAAAACAATTTTTTCTGACTGAATATTTATTTTCAAAACTAAGTAATTAATTTTGTTTTTTAAAACTACATATTTAATTATGTTTTTCATGTCTAGTTGTTCAGTCAGACGCTCCATCATGTTGTCATGTTTCAGTTTTTCCTCCATTCAGCAACAGTTGGTGAACTGGGTTTAATCCAGTTTAGTCTAATTGTCTTTCTTGCTACCAGCAGCAGAAGGTGCAACAATATGTAACATTGATGTTTAGTGAGTAAATCCTTGGTGTTTATGTCCAGCAGAAACAGAAGAGGCTCCATGTGGAGATCTGTCCTCAGAATGTCCTCAGTCTCCTGTTTCATTTCCTCCCAGAAAGTCTTTATTTGTGGTCAGAACCAGAAGACGTGTGTGATGACCGACCATTCAACACATTCCTCCAACATCCATCTGTGGTTGGAATCCTGGAAATGAACGTTTTGAAAATACCAGCTGGTGCAGGAGGAGGTGCAGGAGGCACTGTAGTGAAAGCATTGGAATATAAATGTACACCACACTTTTCAGATTTGTATTTGTACATTTCAAAAAAATAAATATAATTTCCCCAAAGTAATTGCTTATTAGTTTTTGTCTTGGCTTTTATTTTTATGATCAACCTCTAAAACTTTACAGCAGTTATCTACTGACTGTGGACAATTCATAAGAAAATAGTTTAAAAAAATACTTTAATCCTTTTTGTGCCATTATTGATACAGAAAATACAAAACATTATTGACTGGCCTTCTTAAAGAAGCCATAAAGTTGTGTATTTCTTTGTGTGATTGCCAGATAGAGCTGTTTTTCAATTTCTAGCTTTGAAATTAAATGTTTGAAAAAGGAGCATTTCCCTTTAATGTCCACTAGGGGGCAACAGATCATAGGGGATTATTGGTTTGGATCTGGGATTCCGGGATAAATAACCAGAAAACGAACTAAGTAAAGATCATAATTTAAAATCTGTTTGATAAAACATAAATTCTGTTTTGAAATGAGTCACTTTAAGAGTTTATATCTTTATAAAGTTCCTTATATGAAGGGAATTTCCCTCTCTATGATGGTTTCCTTTTGAGTTTCTTAGCCTGTTGAGTAATTTCTGTTTTTAGGTCACAGATCCACTGAGGTCATAAAACACCTGGAACTGAGTAATAAAACAACGACAAAGTCTTATTACAGTTTTAGTTATCAATCATATTAGCATAAAATTATAAAATCAAGAATGAGAAATTAAAAACAGAAAGTATTTGTTTCATGTTTTGCTCTTTTCTGTATTTTTCTGATTTTATTTGGCAGGAATGTAATGTTTTCAAGGTTTAAAAAAATCCAGCAAAATATAGAGCTTTGGAGCTGACCTCACTGCATGTGACCTGTACGTCGCTCGGCGCCATGTTGGTGCTAACTTTTCATACCTGGAATAATTGACAGTTCAACTACCTGCAGAGTCACATATACATGTAACAGGTGGCACCATTAGGTGTCGCTCTCCCCACAGCCTGAGGCTCCATAAAGGGGAAGATGGAGGATGATGGCCAGGTGTTGATTCAGGTGTGGTTGGTTCCACACGTTGTTGGCGTCGTTGATGGTGCTCGACGCTGTTAAAATGTTTTATAATTGTGTTTTATTAAAGATGAATTTCATGTTTTTTATGTTTTGTTCTTATTTGGTAGGATCCACCGGATCGACGGCGCCAGATTTGAGCTTAGGGTGATTTGTGCCATGCAGGTCGGCAGCGTTTTTAATGTGTTTTTAGATTGACTTGATTAAAATGATTTAATAACTATTTAGTCATTTTTGTGTTTTTACAGTGATTGCACTGCCGCCTGCTCTCTTTTTAGAGTTTTGTTTTCCTTTTGTTAGTCCGTCCAGTTATGATTGATTTTCTTTTGTAGTAGCTGTGAGGGCGGGCCAACAACTGTTCATTGATTGATTGATTTATTACACAGACTCAAAGTCCAAATACACAAAAAAGAAAAGAAAAACAATAAAGAATAAAAAGTGCATTAAAAAATGGCAACTAACCCGTCAGGAGGCAATCATACCAATGTCTCCAGAGTACAGATGAGTATTTTACGACACTATATTTAACATTCGTCAACAATAGAATAATTCTATTATTAGACTCATTTAAACAACAAATAAATTGATACATAAGCTTCCTTAAAACAGCCATCAAAGTGCTAACGTGAGCAGATACAAACAGTTCACTGGCACTGGTCCATCTGGGCTTTTCTTAAAGCATCATTAAAAGCCACCTTCAATCTTTGAAGACTGTTTTTTTTTTAAATTGTACCACAAATGTGTTGAATACAATGATGTACAATATGATGGAAACAGATGCAGTTTCACTTCATCAGTACAGAAGCCAAACTTACGGACCAGGATATTTGCCTGAGCATATAACATTCGAACCTGTCGGTAAATGTCCGCATCATCAGACAAAGTGTCTGTCAACACATGACCAAGATATTTTACTTCATTAGAGACATTCAATTGAGTCCCAGACAGCTTGAAATTTGCCATATTTGTCCTCCTTGGTGCGACAGATCAAGATGATGCTTTTTGATGGATTCAATTTAACATCATGTCTGTTCACCATATGCTGAACAGACATTAAGCAGCTTCTGCAGACCAGCTGAGCTTGCACTAAAAATCACTATATCATCAGCATACATTAAATGATTAATAATGGTATCGCCAACCATGCAGCCAGTTCTACACAAGTTGAGCTGCTTAGAGAGATCATTCATATAAAAGTTAAATAACATGGTGATAAAATGCTACCTTGTCTGACTCCATTGCTGACACGAAAGGATGCAGATATACAGTCGTCCCATTTGACCTGCATAGTTTTATTGGGATACCAATATGTCAGACATCTTACTATATATTTGGGCACACCAGCTTGGCACAATTTTAAAAATAATTTTCTATGATTTACACGATCAAAAGCGTTCGTGGCGTCTAAAAAACACAAAAAGACTGTAGAGTTTTTGCTGGTATAATCATTCAGTAATTCTTTTAGGCCATATATACACATATCAGTGCCATGTTTAGACTTAAACCCAAATTGATTATCAGTAGACATAACTATCTTTTCAAATTTAGGCAAAAGAATTAGTTCAAAGACTTTAGACAGTGTACTAGCAATGGCTTTAGGTCTATAGTTATCAGAGCTGCCAATTCTGCCAGCTCTGTTTTTAATCACAGGAAGCAGAAGAACATTCATCAAGGAATCAGGAATAAAGCCATGCATCATAAAACCAGTGAAGCACAAAGCAAGAAGAGGGGCGACACTAGAACTTGCAAATTTCAGATGTTCAGCTGAAATAAGATCCTTTCCTATGGATTTATTTACAGACAGATCTTTAATTGCTTGATAAACCTCGTGAGTTTTTGATAGTTTCTACAGTACTAACCTTGTCAACTCGGAAGGGTTCACTCTGTACACAGGTAAATAGCTTGCTGTAGTGATGTTGACAATAATCTACAATCATATTCGTCCCAGAAACACCATCGACAGTGCAAGGGAGAGATGGTTTACTGTTATTGATGGTTTTAACCTCTTTCCAGAAGGCTTTGGGATCCTTACCTATGACCTTATTTGCCAAGGAGTCAGCCCTCATTGTTTGTTCATTCTGTCTAATAAAGCGTAGTGCATACTTGAATTTTGCATTAGACCGCTTTTTCTGTTCAATATAGGGCCCTGCCTAGGTTTACCTGCTAGAGCCCAAGAAGTAGTAGCTTCACAGGCTTCACTGTAGTACTTAGACACATACGTGTTCTAGCCTGGTCTCTTTTTAATCTTAATATTACTTTTATTATAAGGCAGGGTAGCTCCGAGTAGTGCTTCAATAATATCAGAGTATCATCCAGTTAAGTTGGTTCTATGTCCAATATTAGAGCAGTTACAGTCTGTACAAGTAACTGCCTCTCTTGGTATTTTAACACTACACAATAGTTGATCAGTTAGGGCATAGTAACAGGCTATTTGCTCAGAAGAAATAGAAGACCAGTCTATATGTATTTGATTCTGATTACTGTCCACATTAACAGTTGCAGGAATATGATCAAATCTAATTAACACCTCAAGGGGATGTGATCAACAATGGATACATTGTACAGAATATTAATATGTACCAAAGCAGCATGAGCATCTGCTGTAGTGATACAATGGTCTAACCAGGAAGTAGTATGCCAGGCTTCACTGATATAAGTGTAGCTAGCAGCTGGTAAAAGTTCTTACTTGATAATATTAGATTAGAATCTGTACAGAAATGAATCAGGTGTTTAGCAAACAGAGAGTTATCATCTGAGATGTCTGCATTCATG